TGCCGACATACCCATTGCATGTGCACTCAAGAAGAAAAAAGGAATGAAAATAAACAAATAGGCCAACGTTATGGTGGTGGTGAGCTCAGGCTGGTGGTGAGCTCTTCTCGTGTATCCAGCTGGACAGAAACCCAAGGGTGCCACTGTGGTGCTTCATGTTGAATGTGCTGTGTGGAGGTAAAATTTACGTGTCATCGGGGCATCCTTTGGAAGCGTACAGTTGGACAGATTCCCTGCTTAGCAACCACAATCAGCCACAACCATTCCCAGACGGCCGGGGGTGGGGGGGTGGGGGGGGGTGTTCCCTCATGCCCAGTCACTCTCCCATGCCTTTGGCAAATGCTGATCTAGTTTCTGTCAAGAGATGTTGGCCTTTTGTCTCATTGCATTCCACCAGAACGGGTGGTATTCCTCTCGGAGTCTGACTTCCTTCCCCCAGGCTGAGTTTGAGGCACATCCAGATTGTTAAGTGTATCCCTGGCTTACACACTTTTACAGTGAGTAGTACCCTGTTTCCCTGAAAATAAGAGTGTCTTATATTAATTTTTGCTCCCAAAGATGCACTAGGTCTTATTTTCAGGGCATGTCTTATTTTTCCATGAAGAAGAATATGGTACATATTTATTGTTTATTGTTTTCTTAAAAGAGACCTCACACTTCCTGTCTGCTCCGGCTGCACTGTGGCCAACAGTGAGTTGCGCGCTGGTGCCTGCCACTACAGTCTAGAGTCCAGAGTTAAGGTAGCTTCGGGGGGCCTTATTTTTGGGGAGATCTTATTTTCAGGGGGGTTCCTTATATTTCAGCGAGAGGCAAAACTGTAAGTAGGTCTTATTTTCGGGGAATGTCTTACTTTTGGGGAAACAGGATACTTCACCATTTCTTGATTGAAAACCGACAAGGGAGCAAAAGTAGAGACAAGGAGACCAGAGATGAAGGCAAAGGGGGCTGTTCCCTTGTAGCACTGAGTGGGACAAGAGCTCAGAGGAACTCTTAGTCAGGCCTCTTCTCTCTCTTACAGAAACTTTTCAACTAGTTTTCACAGACATTGCCTCTGAGACCAAGGGCCAGTGCCATCTTGTGGACTACATTCCACAGGAAACTTGGCCCTGGATGGCATCTAAAGGGAACAGCATGTTTTCAATGGAGTTCCCGGGATCTCCCATGCCCCATCAAACCTAACCAAACTCACTGACACGAAGTCAATTCCAACTCATCGCAAACCCAGAGGCCATGGTAGAATTGTCCCTGTGAGTTTCCGAGACGGTGACTCTTCACTGGTGTAGAAAGCCTCCTCTTTCTCCCACAGAGAGGCGGTTGGTGGTTTTGAACTGCTGGCCTTGCGCCGAGCTGCCCAGTGAGTAGCCCACCGGGGTTCCAGGAACCCTTATAAGCTCTAGAATACAAGTGCTCAAGAAAGAAGCCAATATCTTGACTGCACTAGTCATGGCACTCCCCCCTAGGAGCCTCTAATAACCTTCTCCAGTGTTGCCTCTATGTCTCACCAGAGTAATTCTTCCTCTTGGTCAAAGGCCAGAACCTAATTTCGGTCACATTGTGGTCGCTGTGATGGAGCTCCGAGGAAGGCACCTCATGAGAGCTCAGCATGGGGAAGCTGGAATTCTGGTTGTGACTGTGGAATCAGTCAACCAGGATATGACAAGGAACCAGCAGCCTGGAAATGGGGGGCGGGGGGCTTCTCCTGTGAGTCCTGAGGTTGAATTCCTGCAAGCGAATCACATACTGGTTTTGATTTTGCTTTGTGGCATAGTGGCTTAAGTGTTGGGCTGATAACCAAAAAGGTGGCCATTCAAACCCACTAGCCTCTCCACGGGAAGGGAATGGGCCAGTAGGCTTCTGTAAAGATTAGACACCTCATAAAGCCTACAGAGCAGTTCTACTCTGTCTTTGGGTTGATAGGGTCACCACAGACTGAAACATGCTGCTTACCAAATGATTATCAACCTCTTTTCCTCTACCTAGTTTGTGTTTCTGAATTGTTGCAAGTCAGAAGCGGGCCCTATATTAGCAGTCATTCAGAAGTGTTTTTGTGGGCCCATGTTTTCTTTTCTGGGTCATTCGTGGGGCAAGCCAGAGACTGAGTTAGAATCACCCTAAGCTGGATAATCATATCCCAGGACAACTGTGGAGGATTCCCTACACAGGGAGTGACTGGACATGCCAACTGGAAGCTCCTTCTCCAAGGCAGAGGCTCTCCCATCCTGAGGAATGGTGGCAATAATCCTCAGAGCTGTCATGCTGGGCTCTGCTGCCATTTCTGCTTCCTGAGCCCTCCCTCCGCCCTGCTCTCCCACAGCTCTTTCCTTGCTGGGTAAGCCCACGTGTCCTTAAGAAAACATGGGCCTTCCCGTCATAGAGCTGGCAATTCTGACCCAACATAGACCTGGAGATTCTGACCCGACAGACAGTCCTGCAGCAGAGGTCCCAGAGCTGCACTCGCTGTTGCCTCCAACAACTGCACGGCTCTTCCGTGAAAGACCCTCCTCAACAACAGGATACAATGAGCCAAGGGACCATGACCAATTTCAGTAGCAGCCCCACCGATCCATCAGGGTCTCTGTTTCAAGACTGCTGGTAGCAACCCCGCTGTGGGAACTTCCTCCCTCTTCTTGCTGCCTTACCTGCTCCAACCCTGGCGTGAAAGTCTCGTTCATTTCCTCTTCCCCAGGAAGCCTTCTGCAGACAAATTAGACACTATCCAAAACTACGTAGGGGAAGGTACTACGATGGCAAGATCTCCTGGTGGTTTGGGATATAATAAAGGTGAGTAGCTACCCTGTTTCCCTGAAAGTAAGATATCCCTGAAAATAAGACCTACTTACAGTTTTGCCTCTCGCTGAAATATAAGGAACCCCCCTGAAAATAAGACCTTCCCCAAAATAAGGCCCCCTGAAGCTACAGTAACTCTGGACTGTAACGGCAGGCGCCGCTGTGCAGCTCACTGTTGGCCACAGCACAGCCAGAGCAGACAGGAAGTGAGAGGTCTCTTTTAAGAAAACAATAAACAATAAATGTGTACCACATTTTTCTTCATGGAAAAATAAGACATCCCCTGAAAATAAGACCTAGTGCATCTTTGGGAGCAAAAATTAATATAAGGCACTGTCTTATTTTGAGGGGAACAGGGTAAAAGCAGTTTCCACATCAAGGAAGCAGGCCACATTGGTGTGGCTGGAGAAGGAAGGAAGTATGGGTTTCGAGTTTGGGAGAGAAAGTTGTCCAAGTGTAGTTCCAGAGACATCCAAGTGACTACAGATCTGTTACATCATCTGACAGCTGCAGAGCCGCCAGATGATTTAGAATGTAATTGGTTCCAAAGCTGTTTTAAGGGAGGCCAGGTGTAGAAGCCTCATCAGGGTGGGAACAGACTGACAGACCCAGGGAGAAGGAAATGATGAGCCAAGTTGAGAGAGTAGTTAGCTAGTGGTCAGCGTAAGACATGTGGCTGCATCTAAAGACATAAACCCGGGGCTGCATGAAGGCCCTGCACATCCAGACTCCTGCATGAGGCTGAGACACAAGCTTTCTCGTTCCTGGTTGACAATCACTATCTTGGAAAAATAATAGCCAGTTCGATCCCTGAGTTCTCTGAGACAACGCCACTCAACAGGGAGAAGCCAGTGTTGCTCCCTTTTGTTCTGAATTGGTGAAAGGGCATCTCCAATTATTAGCTTTATCTGTGTTCCCGTTGGCCTAGAGAGCCAGGGGCCATTTCTAGGAGATGCTCAGGAGAAGACTGAATAGCAAAAGAAGCAACAAAAGAGTAGGTAAGAAGAGAGTTAGGAACATCACAACATTCAATGTCCATTACCCTTTAGGACACTAAACAATTTTACTTCCGAAAAGCTACCTGCCTCTGAGGATGTCATGAGTTACCACTGTCAGACTTCAATCATACGAGAGAAGAATGGCTTATGGATCTGAAATGATGAGCAAGCAAAAGCCACCCGAAGGTGGTGTGTCAACACACTCATCTGCTCCCAGACAGGACCACGAGGAGGTGTGAATTTGCTCATGGGTCCGAATTTGAGGTGATCTAGTCAGCTCGTAGGCTGGAATGTCCTCGTGTCTCGGTGTCAAAAGGTGAAGACATCGTGTCTCCTTTCCCTCTGCCGGTGAAAGGCCCATGCTGACAGAACTGGGTAAGAGTCCAGTGGCATGTGGAGGAGGGCATATCTACTCTGCCACAGCCATGGCTACGCTATGGATGAGTTTCCCATCCCTCCGCTACTCTACCTGCAGGCCAGGTCGTAGGACTAGCTCCTCCCTCCTCAGCCTCTCTGCACAGGTTCCTTGGAAATCCTGAGCCAGAGCCCCAGCGGGAGCTGGGGAAGCCACTCTCCATTGAGATAAAACAACAGGAAGAAGCAAGATTCCTGAATCTGAGTCTTTCCCCCACAGAACAGCCGCAAACAACAGAGCTTGTCAAGACTCCCACCCCCAAGAAACAAGATTCAGTATCAGGGCCCCCATAAAGAGAAGTCCCAGGAAAGAAGATGGCCCACCTTTTCTCCTCGGGCCCGGAAGGGTCCTCTGGCTGCAATCATCTCATACACCGTGACCCCCAAGGCAAAGTAGTCCACCGAAAAGCCATACTCCTCGCTGCGCAGGAGCTCGGGGGCCATGAAACCTGTCGAGGCACAAGGGCAAAGGCGCTGCTGTGGGATCTGGCCTGGCATCGGAGAAAGTCTAGCAACATCTCTGGCCTCCACTCACTAGATGGCAGTAGCAACCCTCCTGGGGCCCTCCCCATTTGTGATAACCAACCGAGTCCTCAGTGCCTTGCTCGAGATCCCAGTAACAGTATACAGTAGGTTAGGTGAACAGCGAGGATTCAAATCCAGGGACAAAAACACCCACATGTGAGCTCCCAGCCAGCCCACTGTCCTGCAGAGATGGTAGTCAAGTCTATACTTATCCCCCTCCTTGTGTGTTCACCACTTAGTTGTTATTTTTTGGTTTTTGTTTTTAGCCAAGTTATTCCATTGCATAAAGAACCTGGTCATTCTGAAAGGCTGGCCCCAGAAGCGACTGTAGTCCCTTAACTCCTACTCCTCTCCTTCCCTCCCCTTTTTCAGAATTCTTTCCGCTGATGATTTTGGAATTTCCCTCCATACCTGTAACTTACATGCTTATACTGCTACTTTTGAAGGTTTCTGTTTGGGGCCTTATCAATTGACTTCCTGCCCTGAAGGAGAGCATCTATCTCCCATCTGTCCACTACTCCCACCTCTCCTACACTTCTTGCCTCTCCTACTCTCCCAGCATGCAAGTCAGCACTACTCCGAGCTGAATCAAAACTTAAATCTCAATGTTCTCTCCACCGAGTCCATGCCGACTTACAGTGATCTCTCGGTGGGTTTCCGAGACTGTAACTCTTTCGTTGAGTAGAAAGTCCTGTCTTTCTTTCGAACTGCTGACCATGTGGATCACAGCACAACTCATAACTACAACACCATATAGTCTTTTCACAGGTTACATTGTCATGCTTTTGGTTTGCTTCATCTTCTCTGTACTTATCACCAATTCAGTTGTGTCACAATTCGCTGCTTCTCTATCGTGTTTTGATCTATCAAATATTTTGTTGGTTCTTTCCCATGAGATCCTGTGGGATTATTGCACTTGCGCCAGCCTGGGCTCCAGTGTACAGTGCGCACCTTAGGTTCCCTGTCATCCTGACTCCCTTTGTGTCTCTTTCCTAATCCCCAGACCTTGTGCTTCGTTTGTTTCTTTGTTTAGTCTTTCCTTTGAGCCTGGTAAGTTTCTAAGGCAGAGTGCTGACGAAGTAAAGATCTGGGAGCTTTCAGAGCTAAAGATGCCCCCCACCACTTTTTTAAACCAATAGTTAACGTATAATTTGGCTGGGTATAAATTTCTTAGATGGAAATAATCTGTCCTCTAGATTTTTAAGATTCTTTTTCCGTTGTCGTCTCACTTCTACTCTTACTTTTATGAATGTCAATGCCATGTTCTGACTCTTAATGCTTTATATGAGACTTGTGTTTTTTTCCTCCCTAGAAGTTTGTAGTGTTTTATCTGTCTTGAAATTCCATAATAATGTCTGTTGGTCATGGTTTATTTTCATGCATTGTGGTGGGCATTTTGAGTCTTAGAACTCATGACCTCCAATGCTGGGAGGTTTTATTGAACTATGTCATGGATCTCTCTGTCCCTCCGGGTATTCTAATCTCTCTTTGGAATGCCTACTGTGCCCTCTCTTTGAGAGATTCATGATGCTACCAACTTCTCTCTGATTTGGGGGCTCTTACTGCTAGCTTAGGATTTAATTGTCTCTCAAGACCATCGGTTAGTTACCATTCATCCATCCATCTATTTGTCCAGCTGTCAAAATATTACTGCTTCCCTCTCGTCTGTTCTCCTTTCTCCACATGGGTTTTAGCAAAGTCCATTCACTATCATTATCCTGGATGGCAGTTGGGAAACCAAATAATATGCATATTCAGCATTAATATCCTGAGAGATCATTTTCCAATACTCTACTTAGATACTTGCTATTCATTTCTTAGATATATTGCAATGACTGAGTCTGGTCATGTCTTGTGTTCCCATGTGACTATCAATGCTGGGTTTAGTGATCACCAGGCCTTCTTTAATACCTACACGTGCCTTTGACAATGTTTTAGATTGTTGCCTGAAAGCGGAGTCATGATCATGCCTACACAGTTTCTTGAAATTGATTTCTCTGAAATTAAAGATAATGGAATTTTCCCATGAACTTTTTCTTCTTTATTTTATTTTTAATTTCTCCATAAACTTTTGAAGCCTCCTCGTGTGTGTGTGTGTGTGTGTGTGTGTGTTTAATTTGAGGACAAAATATATATGTACACACACAGAGGCTTCAAAAGGTTCATGGAAAATCCCATTTTTTCCCACAAAGTTTTTGAAGTCCCTTTCTGTACACATCACACCTGGAACCCAGTAAATGGCCAAAAGTCTTTGATGAGTGAATGAATGAAACCTATCAACTTTTTTACTGATTCTTTTGCATAGCAACTCCTCTCTCCCCGGAACTAAGAGTCCTTTGAATACACAAAGGCCCTATGTTTCTGTTGGGAGTCCTACTGGGTTAGCTCCAACTCACACAGTGAGTTCCAGGGTGTCTGTCAATTGCTTCGTGGACTGAGAAGACTGCCACCTGTGAGAGCCACTGGGCACCGGCTAGTGGTGGCACACCCAGCTGCATACTTCTGACCAGAGCAATGAGCTGGAAGGGCCAAAGGGACAAGAGCTGAGGCGGAACCTCTGGGCTGTGTTGGCTGCCCCAATCTTTTCGTACCAGCACTCCAGTATCAGCATCTATGATCTGGTGGTTTTCAAGGCACATGCTGAGCCTCATAGCAAATGAAACGGAGATGTCTGTTCGCTGTGCAGCCCCACTAATCAGGACACGTCGTCGTAGAAAGCTTTGTATCCCATCTAGTATTCGGACGCCCTCTCGTGGCTCAGTGCATTATGAGTTGGGCTGCTAACTGTAAGGTCAGCATTTCAAAGCACCAGCCATTCCGTGGGAGAAACATGAGGCTTTCTAGCCCCGTGAAGATTTACAGTCTCAGAAATCCACAAAGGAAACTAACTCTGCCCTCTAGCGTCTCTGTGAGTTGTAATTGGATGGCAGTGAGTGTTCTCCTGAAAACCAGTGATTCTCTCCATGGCAGTGACAATGGCGCCCTCTGGTGGCCACTTTTACCCTAGCACTCAGCCTGCGCAGCAGAGATCATAGTAACCAATTTTTTTTTAAAGATTGCCATCAAATCGATTCCAACTCATTTGGACTCCAACCTTTTGTTTGTTTGTTCTTTTAATAGTTTTATTGGCACTTCATCCACATATCATACAATTCAATAGTTCAATCATATCAAGAAGAGTTGTACAATTATTACCACAACTGATTTTAGAACAATGTCTTCTCCCTTGTCCTCATTGTTATTTATGCAATTATTTTTTTAATTGTGGCAAAGATATACAGAACAGAACATTCTCCACTTCCACAACGTCTACATGTATCATTCAGTGCCGTTGATTATGCTCTGTGTGCTGTGCAACCATAGTGATATCCTTTTCCAAATTGTTCCTCCACCATTAACATACACTCAATACCCCCGAGGCAAAAACTCTTCCTCTTTCACCCGTGGTAACCATATGTCAAGTTTGGTTTGTTTTTTTTACTAATTTTCTTGACATAATATTCACATATTATATACACTTCCATCGTCAAACTGCTTTCAAAAAGAGTTGTATATACATCACCACAGTCAGTTCTAATGCTCCCTCCACCCTCCTGCATTCATCATTTGCTCCCCAATCCCCTCCCCTCCTCCATTCCTGGTAAAGCTTCGCAGCAGGTACTGTCCCTCTGCATCCACTCCTTCTGCGCTTCATAAACTGAGAAACCCAATAGAAACAATACTAAACAAGATGAAACAGAAGGAAGATAATAAGATAAAGATACAAATAAGGAGTAAGAAAGAAAAGACCACCAACAACATTTTAAAAGCCAGTGAAGAAATGTCTGTCATGGAACAAGCGAGAAATATTTGAGCCTACAAAAAATTCAGGTTGGATCAAGAGGAAGGTCAACTGACTAAGTCTCATATGATACTGTGGTTTCATCCACCATAATCAAGTTGAAAGCTGGTCGAGTCCCTCACCTGTGGCCAGACGGGCTCTCCCAGAGGCTTAATCTGACGAGATAGATATTCAGCTGATGGAATTTGGGCTCCCACTGTTCTCCAGAGCCTTCCACAAACGTGGGCTCCAACTCCTTAGAATCTCCTCTGATCTCGGGGTTGGCGGTCCCATGTTTAACACCTGGACCACCAGGGCTCCTTCACGCCATGACCAGTCCGCTTACATACTTAAACACACCCGCATCACACTCTGACTCTGTTAGGGAACCATGACACACTCGGCACAGAGGTGCCACGTCCTTTTCTCCTAAGGACCCGAGTCTCCCTGGAAGACATGAGGAAGGGGTGTTCAGGGAGGGAAAATTAGCCTGGAGTACAACTCTAGATTGGAGTTGAGGGTTTTGTGCGTTTCTGCCACAGCCACAGAATGGGGCTTATGTGAGTAGAGGGTAAATAACAGTCGGTCCCAAGGCTTACTCTGCTATGGGTCCACAAGATGGACATGCGACCCTCCCACAAGATCCCTTAGGACCTTGTGTACGGAGATGTGTATATGGGCTCATAATGAGCCCAAAGCCAACTAGGCCCTAGGTGGGTCCTGCACCTCATGGGCGCAGCGTGCATGGGAGGAGAAAGGCTCTTGCTACATCATCGTTCTTCACAATGACAGGCAGGAAGCAAACCACAGTTCTCATCCTTCTTCCGGGCAGAACCTATCCTCTAAATAATGGTACAGATGTGGACAACCCTGCTGTGGTGACCCACACAAAGGTGCTCAGAGCAGGAGGCTTCATGGGGACACAGCAGAACCTGCATTGTGACCCTAACCTCCACCTCCATTCCAGGTGATAGGCTTTCTCCCCAGAGCCAAAACAAACTCTCCAGGAGGAAGAGATTGCCAAGAGAGCTTATCAGAAGGAAGCCTGGAACCCTGAACCATCAAGAAAGTGGAAGAGAGAAAAGAGGCGTTTAAATGTCTTGAGCGACTACTCCGGTCCAGGCGCTTTCGACAACAATGTTGCATTTCATTCTCGTTACAAGCCTTGGGTGGGAGCTAGCATCAGCTCCTGTTGACAGATGAAAAACCGAAGACTCAGAGAGGTTGATAACATTCCTCGGGCACACAGCTAATAAGGAATGTACTTGAAACATGAACCTGGCTCTGACTCTGAAGTGGCCTCTCTTTTCTCTAAAGTGGCCTGTCCCATTCCTGCCTGAGACAAGATGGGTATTTAAGGGGCCTTCCTGACAAGACAAATTCAGTATTTTAAAATCAACCATTGCCATGCGATGCATTAACCAGCTAAGGGAGAAAGAAAAAAAATCATACGATCGCATCAATCAATGCAGAAGAGGTCCTTGACAAAGTCCAGTGCCCAGGAGTGATCAACACTCTCCAAACATCAAGAACAGAGGTGGGACTGCCTCACCTTAACTCAGGTCACTGATAACCTTCCAGCTAACCTTATGTCTACTGCTGAAGGACTAAATGCTTTTCCCCTATGAGCAAACCAGGGCGGGATATTGCCTCTCAACACCCATCTTCAGCAGAATGCTGGAAGATCAAGCCAGCGCAAGGAGCAAGAAAAGGAAGTTACAAAAACATGCAGGTCAGAAAGAAAGTGATAGCGCCATCCTTGGGCGCAGAGGACACAAGACTACTCTGACTTGGTGGCTGGTACAAGAGCAACCCCGAGCCCCCACCTGCACAATCCTTGACGCTTTTTGTTTTCTTCTGTGGCGTTCAGCTGCCCTCAAGTTGCTTCTGATTCAAGGTGACCTTGTGTGTGTCCGAGTGGAGCACTGTGCTGCATGGAGTTTTCCGTGGCTGATATTTTGGGAGGAGAGAGCCAAGGCCTCTAAGGCACCTCTGGGTGGACCTAACCCTCCCACCTTTCAAACTGCAGCTGGACCTGTAAGAGACTCCACTCCCTACTCTACATTAGGCTTTCCTAAGGCAGTAACGGCTTCCAGAGAGCTGGAGTCTCTGAGGAGCCAGCTAGCCTCCCTTGACTTTCACCCTAGTCTGGTCATCCTGTGTGGATGTATGCCTGTGAAGCTCTCACGTGGGTTTTATTGAAGTTGGTCAGTGCTGAGAAGTGTCGTGCTCCTAAGCCAGGCCCGGTACTTTCAATCGCCTCATAGGCATGTGAAAGTTGAATAAGGAAGGCCGAAGAAGAATCCGTGCATTTGAATTGCGGTGCTGGTGAGGAATATTCAAGGCGCCATGGCCCGTCAAAAGAACAAACAGATCTTTCTTGGAAGAAGCACAGCCAGGGTGCTCTTTTGAGGCAAAGATGGTGAGATTTCGTCGCACGTACTTTGGACATGTTGTCAGGAGAGACCGGTCTCTGGAGAAGGACCCCGTGCTTGGTGAAGTCGAGGGGCAGCAGAAAAAGAGGGAGAGTCTCAGGAAGATGGACGAACGCAGTGGCTGCACAATGGGCTCAAACAGAACCACATGGCGAAGATGGTGCAGGACCAGGTAGTGTTTTTCGCTTTGTTTCCATAGGGCCGCTATGAGTGGGGATCGACTCCATGGTCCCTAACAACAAGAACAACCAGTACTGTGAACTAATGGCTCACAAGAGTGGAATTTCCCGAACCATCATCCAGCCATCTGGAACAGCCCACTGTTGGCCGACGCCTCTGAACAAACTCATGATGCTCACGGCAAGAACGCCCTAACTGTCCACCTGGACTCTCCTGGAGGGCGTAGTCCACCAAGACACCAAAAGGAGAAAACTTTGTATCACACAGGCCACCGGTGTTGATACCAATCTTTTGTTGTTGTATGTTTTGTTTTAGGTAGAAGAGAGGAGATTATTTCTACAGTGAAGGACAAACTCTCGAAGCTCCAGGCTGATCATCTGCACCTATCCATTGGTAAATTCGCCTTGTTTCTGTTCTTTATATTTGCTCCAAAGGATGAGGAAATCTCACTCCCACCCAAGCCTGAATCTGCAGCCTGTCTCACCCCTCACCCCGCCTCCCACTCCACCCCCAGCCCATGGAGACCCCAAAAATTCTCCCTGCCCTCCCGGTCCCTACCGCCTTTGCTCCCAGCTCCTTACCCGGAGTCCCTGCGTAGCCCTTGGTCTTGGTCTGCCCGTCCTTCAGTTCCACGGCCAGGCCAAGGTCAGAGATTCGGATATTGCCTGAAAAGCAAACATTGACTGAGGCCACACGTGGCTCCAAAGAACAAAGGACTCTGGTATGCCCAGAGTCTCTGGGGAACCAACCACCACCCCTGGGCAGCCACACGGGCAGCGAGCTTACAGCAGCCAGGGAGCCTGGGGGGAAAGTGGCCTTCTTCCCACCCTGACCAGGCTTCAGAGAGGCCCAGAGGGGCCAGAGGGGACAGGGTCCTGAGCACCATCAGTCTGTGCAGCTGGAATTCAGGGTGTAGTCACGATAGCATTCAATTTCTCTCTCCCCAAATTCATGTTTCTCTTTCCCCGGTGCTGCCAGCGTCGCATTTGTGAATCCCTGTGCATGTACTGATAGGGAAGGAGGGCAAGCTAAAGAGTGTTCTAGGTGCCTCCATCTCAGTTTATTTTCTGATAAGAATCCCAACTTGATTTCACATACCAGAAAGAAAGGGAAAAAAGCCTAATACGTATTTGGCCATAAATTATTAACTGTTGGCTAACAGATCTCTAAGGAAACCTGGCGATTCTGTTTAAGCATTTGACTGCTCACCGAAAGGTCAACAGTTCAAGCCCACCAGCTGCTCCGCTGGAGAAAGACGAGACTTTCTGCTTCCATCAGGAGTTACAACCTAGGAAATCCAAAGAGGTTGTTCTCCCCTGTCCTAGAGGCTCCCTAGGAGTTGGCGGTACCATCAAAGGCGGCAGGGCTGCCTGCACGACATGCCTCTAAGGATCGAGCCAAACGTACCCAAGCCCGTTCCCTTCTCCTACAGGCAGCTGCGTGGGCCGGAGACCAGCGGGCGGGCCTGGCGGCTGTCGGGCTGGGCTCACCTTCATCGTCCAAGAGGACGTTCTCAGGCTTGAGGTCGCGGTAGACGATGCGCCGCTGGTGCAGGTGCTCCAGCCCGCAGACCATCTGCGCCGCGTAGAAGACGGCGCGCGGCTCCCGGAAGCCCGGGTTCTCCTCGTCCACGTTGTAGATGTGATACCTGCGGGCAGACCCACCCCGGCGCCCGCCGGGAGATGGTGGGGACTCCCTAGGCACAACGGCAGGCCCCCAGCCCTCCGGGGTCCGCCGAGATGGTACCGGCGGGGCGGGCTGCTTCGCTGGTTACTGGCCCAGCATCTCTGGGCCATCCTGTTTGAGCTGTCCTTTTAGCGGCCTGGCCAACACAACCATTGCTGGGTTGGAGCTCTAGTGGCGTTGGGCTGCGATCCGCAAGGTCAGCAGTTCGAAACCACTAGCTCTCCGCTGGCTGTCCGTGGATTGTTATGGTCTCAAAAACTCACAGGGGGCAGTCCTGTCCTGCTATGAGTCAGCATCCACTGAGTCCCAGAGCAGAAGTGGGGCTGCTCGCGTCTCCCTCCCCTATGCTGCTATCCGCAAAGCCAGCAGTTCTAAACCACCAGTGGTTCTGCAGGAGAAAGACCAAGCTTTCCACTCCCAGAAAGAGTTTCAGCCTCAGAAACCCACAAGGGCAGTGTGGGTTTCCCAGACTATAACTCCTGACGGATGGAGAAAGCCTCATCTTTTCCCTGGGGAGCATTCGGTGGTTTCATACCACTGGCCTTGTGGTTAACAAGCCAACTCACAACCCACTACACCACCAGGGCTCCTAAAAATAATTCATCTAACATCAGTAGAAAGATATAAGCTGTTTCGGCCTACTTTAAGAATCAGAGTCCTTGGCGAGCTGTCAAGCAATAGTGTATGTGTGTATGTACATATATTATGTGTATAAAATAAGAGATCTATATGGATACCTTTGCTTCCCTTTTTCCACTATTACCTTTGACAGAAAAGGAAAACCTGCTGAAGCCAAGAGGAGCCCTGGGGGCACATGGTTGAGCCCCGGGTGATGCATCTCAAGGGCAGCAGTTCGAGCCCCCCAGCCACCGCACCAGAGGAAGATGTGGCCCTCAGCTTGAAAGATCACAACCTTTGAACCCCCATGGGGCAGTTCTACTCTGTCCTAGCAGGTTGCTATGCATCAGACATCACTGGATAGCAGGAAGTGCGTTTGCTTAATGGATACAGTGAGATACACAAATTATTTAAAACTGGGCAAGCAACCATGGAGCACGGGGTCACAGGCTTCCTAAGGAAACCCTTCAAATTAAAGCTGAACACACAAGTGACTGGATTAATCATGCAACTGGTTTTAGAGCATCCTAATTTTCACCCTCTTGAAGGTGCTTTGTCTGTGCTTCCAAAATACACACACGGTTCCTCCTTTCACTTGTGGCCCCATTTGACAGATGAGGCTATCTTATTGAACCCAGCTCTCCGGCTCCTCATCGGCAAAACGCGCCCACCCCCACCCTCCCACCCGTGGAGTTTCAATGGAGACAAAGCCAGGTAAGCGTATTGTTGCCCATAACAGCCGAAAGGCCCGCCTTTCTCCTAAGGATCCTGTGTCTATGAACTCATTTAGCAGTCATGACAACCTTGATATTTATCCCCATCTTCTGGATCAGGAACCCGAGGCAAAAAGAGCTAGCAAATGAACTCCTTTTCCTTCTCTTCACCCCAAATAAAACCCAGGTGACGACGCCTGGGCCCCAAATTTTATAGCAGTAGCCCAGCGTCCCTGCACCCTCCCCAAGAGCCAGTGACCTGACTTCTCCTCGGGTGCCCAGAGCCTGCCTCTCAGATCTAGTGCAAATCAAGGCCCGGAGCAGACGCCGAGACCCAGCCTCAGCCTCTCTGCCGGGCGATGGGGAACAGACGGTTTCATCCCTTTCACACGGAACAGTTGGTGGGTTTGTACTTTTATTTCCTCAGTTTGGCCACTTTCTGTCTCTAACTCTGTTATCATCCCCTGAGCGTGGGGCTGCCACAGAACAGGGAAGAGGGTGCTGTTTGTCTTCACCACACATTCCGCCGATTGGAGACTCCTCAACCCCTCAGTAAGCTCTCCATCTCCACCCCATCATCCATCTAAATAGCTCCTGCTGTCTGAACCCCTCAGCCCCACAGCCCCAGCATCAAAATAAACCAAGCTCGAAGCAGCGAGTCACATCCTGGTCACCAGGGACAAAGGAATGGTTACAAAGGCATACATCGACCTGCGTCCCCTGAGAGGAGCTGCCTTTCACCAGAGACCAAGCATTTCGGCATTGCGGGAGTCAGACAGGAGAGAATTGTGATGGGGCCACAGGGCTTCCCCTTAGCTCCTCAAAAGGCATGTCCTCAGTAGCCCAGAACTCTGCCCAGGGGGAAACATCCCTAGCTGGGGCCCAGAGGTCCTTCAACCAAGCTCAGACCACCAGGTTCTCCCTGTCCCAGGTCACCCTCTCCCCCCGCTGCAGAAGGCCCATTTACCTTAGGTCACCTCCATTCATGATGGTCATCACCAGACAGAGGTCGGTTTTGGTTTCAAACGCATAGGCCAGAGAGACTATAAACCTGCTATGAACTTTCGCTAGAATCTTCTTCTCTACGATAGCACCCTGCAAAGCAAGATACAGAGTAAGTACCCGGGCACAGGCAGGGAAGCATCATCAGGTCAGGTTCCACACCAGACAAGAAAACCCACAAAATGGAAAGAATTGTGCACAGCTTTTTCAAAAAGTGTGCAAATGGCAACTGGCTTCTAAACAGGGGGCATGCTCTCTGTTTCACAGCAAACAAGCCCAAAGTGACCAGTGGATTTGTGTGCAGGAAGGTAGCTGGCTCTCCTGGATCAGCCTCCACGGATGGCTCACCCCACCCAGTTTTTAAAAAAATATCAGAGTAAGATTCCACCTTCCCCTGACAAGGGAGAAAGATGGAGCTGTCTATTCCCGTGAAGACGTCCAGTCTCACAAACTGACCAGGCAGTTCTACCCTGTCCTACAGCGTTTCTGTGAGCCAGAGCCAACTCGGTGGCAGGAAGCTTGGTTTTGGGTTTTTTTCCCCTGACAAGCTGTGCAGCGTTTACTTTTCTGTCGAACCACCTCCTCTCCCCCTTGTCCTCTTGCTCGGATCTCTGGAGGGGCAGAGGAAAGGGCCAGCACACGTCCTGGCCACCGCACACCACTCCTTGTTTAATCTGCTTCCAACCCGCACGGAGTTCCTTTTAAACAGGCTGTGTCTGGATCAACCCCGTCAGATCCCTTCTGGAGGGGCATTCTTGATGTTAAATTGTGCCTTTTCTAGCGACCTCTCTGGAGGACTCATGTAGGTTGATTCTGTTTCACAGTAAATTCAAGGAGGCTACTGAGCTCCAACGGGAGAAGAGACTAGACTCCAATCCTTGCATTACATTGACAGTTACAACTCCAAGGGGCAATTCCTTTCATCCCGAAGACTCAGAGTGACGACACTGGGGACTCTGCTGACTCCCTTCACACCACACCTGACACTGCACCCTTCCGTGAGGTAGACCGGGACAATAGCTGCAGCATCGGCCCCAGCATGCTGACGACCGAGAGGCTGAGGCTGGACCAGAAAACCTTTTGTTCTGCTGTGAACAGGGTCACCAGGTGCTTGAGACTACAAGCACCTATAGCAGCCAACCTTTAGCAAATAGGCCTACGTGACAGGGCTGCCTGGCCCCTGGGCGAGGAAACACCTCGCTGGAACACACTCTGTAGAGGTTGCTTTTGGTCCCTAAACCTCCCATCTTCTCCTGACCCTGTCTGTGCTGCACGGCTTGAAAGGGCAAGGGAGAACCAGGGTGGCAGGTGTGCAGCTAGAAGGCCGCTTTAGGAGACAGATTTCTAAGACGTCCTAAGCAGCTTTCCCTGATCCTGTCCTAAAAGGACACTCTGAGGGAGAGGCTAAATAAAACTTAGAGCAACCCGTCTATGCCTCCCATTCGCGCACATTCCCTGGGAAACACCTGCCCGCCAAGGGAAAAGCATCCCACCCGCCAACCACCTGGAGGGCTCTGCCCTGTGCAGGCTTGTCAATCAAAGTGATGTCTGTCTGTGTAGGAGAGAAGGGAGCCTTTGGAAGTCTCTGTACTTTCTGCACATTTTTTTTCTGGACACCTAAAGCTGCTCTTTTTTTAAAAAAGTATTTTTTTTAAAGTGATCTTTGAATGACCCAAGTTCTGCCACAATGTATGTATGTGTGTGTGTGCACGCGCGCGCATTTTCCATCATCATGGGATCTAGCAGTCAGGAGACAGTCTCTCAGAGAGTCTGCCTAAGAATTTAGAATAACTCCCTGCACAGCTTTCCTCTAAGAAGACACGTTTCCCCTCCAAACGGCTGCTGGATTTCCGTGGTGTTAGTCAAACAGAAAGGAAGACCGAAGCAAGAGAAGCAAGGCTTCGACGTCCTCCCCCGCATCCAGGAGTGAAGGCTAAGGTTGGCCTCTGAGGAGGAGAGGCTGCACACCCTCCGTCCATGGACCGCAGGCCCCGGAAAGAAGGTGGAGGTCACAGACTGCATCCCGTTAGCGCCACACTGTGGCCGGGAGGTGGGCTGCTAACTGCAAGGTCGGCAGTTTGAAACCATCAGCCGCTCTACAGGAGAAAGCAGAACCTTCCTACTCCCCTACACAGTTGCAGTCTGGGAAACCCACCGGGGCAGATCTATCTTGCCCTGCAGCAGTGGCTCTCAACCTTCCTAAGGCCGCGACCCTTTACTACAGTTCCTCATGCTGTGGTGACCCGCCCCCCCAACCATAAAATTATTTTCGTTGCTACTTCATCACTGTCATATTGCCACTGTTATGAATCGGGCGATCCCTGTGAAAGGGTGATTCGACCCCCCCCCCAAGGGGTCGCGACCCACAGGTTGGGAACCGCTGCCCTACAAGGTTGCCATGAGTGTGGATCGACTCGATGACAATGAGAGAGGTGCAGGGTCACCCCAAAAGCAAAACAGGGCACACTCTGATATGCAGTCATCATGTGAGATCCACAAGTAAGCACCTGCCCTAGACAATGAGCCAATGGTGGCACGTGTGAGAAAGGTCAAGGTCAACACACTGTCCAAGGGAAGGATGCCTTCTTCTGCCTGCAGCACGCAAGCCAGCTAAGGGGGCCATTGGCGGGCTAGGGGGGAAGACGCAGACACTGGCCGACCCTCTACATACTCTCCGATGCTCACGCGCGACCCACCCTGCCCTGCCCACCAGGGGAAGCTAAACGCCATGGACTTTGGGCGTGTTGTGAACGACGGCAGCTCCTTACTTGGTACCCTTTCCTTTTCTTCAGCCTCTTCTTATTCAGCTTTTTACAGGCGTACAACTTGCCAGTGGCCTTCATCTGGCAGGCCGACACCTCCCCAAAGCCCCCTTTCCCCAGGATCCTGAAGTCCAGAAACCAGTCCTCCCCCATGGGCTGGGCCTCCAACCACTTCCACTGGAGGAACCTCAGGAAGTAGAGGCTCTCCAGGTACTCCCGGAAGGGGGCCTGGCTCAGGTACCCCAAGGTGGCCTGCAGGAGCGGCTGGAAGAGTCCGTCCTCGAGGGCCGCGTGCACGTCCTTCACCTTGGCCACCGTCCCCTCATCCAGGAAGCTACAGAAGAGCTTGGCCTGGGGCTCCAAGTACTCAGCCAGGATGGCCTGGGCCTTCTGCAACTGGAAATCGGGGTCCGCCGTGTTGTAGTCCTCGATGCCCTTCCAGAGCTCCAGGGCCGGCACGTGCCTCGCCTCCGTCTTCAGAAACTGCTGGAAGAGCCGCTTGCCGATGGGCTGCTCTGAACACAGACTCTCAAACTCCAGGTCGAGACTCTCGCGGAGGGCCTCGCATTTGGTGAGCGGGGGTAACTTGAGCTTGGAGAGGTACTTCTTGTCCCGGGACGGCTGGGCGTTGCTCCCGTCGATACTGCCCCGGGCGGCGATGAAGACAGAATTGGCCACCACTGTCTCCAAGGACCCGAAATCCATCCTGGTGCTGGTTCCGGCCCGTTTCAGGCCTGAGGAGCCATAGCCTGTGGCTGAGTCCACGGGGCTCTCATCCAGAGGAGGATTGACCTGTTGTCCTTGGCCTCTGCCACCTT